GGGGACCTTAAACCAGTCACTTTCTCTCAGCCCTAGGAAGGGAAGCAATGGCACACCACTTCTGACATCCTTGCCAAGAAAACTACAAGGACTTGTTCTGGGCAGCTGCTGAGAACTGGACACGACTGAATAGAATAATAATAAAAATTTGAACCATGGGTAGTAACCCTAGCCTGGAATTGAAAGAAGTGCATGCATACATCTCAGTGCTTTTATTAATCTGGAGCTTTCCTCTTAAAGATCTTTAAACTCCTTGGAAGGGTCGTGGCAATTGTTGTAAGAAATGGGAGGATAGATTAAAAAGCCACTAAAAGGAGAAATCAACCCTGTGTTGCTGACCTTGGCTCATTTTGTGTCTGACTTGAGCTGAGGCAATATGTGGATTTATCTAGTTTCTTTCTATGTGCAGTTTTGGTGAAAACTCACCAGCAAAATGCATGAAACCTAACTTTAAGGTTTCACGATGCATGACTAGGATAATATACCCCAGTATCAACATGCCAGGAAAACATAACATTTTAGATTATTAATCTTGGGGCCAGAAAAAAACACGATTTTTGACAACTCACACAAACTTATAAATGCAGAAAGAGTGGTTCTCTCCTTTATCTCTCCAACCCATAGCTTTGAAAGGAGCTGAAAATGAATGAAATTAAACTAAATAGACCTACTGTACTTTGAAGTATTCAATTGATAAAACTCCAAATTCACCTAAGTTTAAATGTCTCAAGAAAGTAGGGTTGGGGAAACCCAGGACATCCAACAAGTAAAACAGCAGATTAGATAGAACAATGACCTATTTCACCTAAAAGCAGGCTTAAAAAACATCTTTCTGGATCAAACCCAGAATCTATCTAGTCTAACACTTTTGCATCCAGATGCCAGGAAAAGTTCAAGAACATGATCTACGTGCAAAAAAAAACCCTCTCTGCAAACAGTATTCAAAGCTTGTGATAACGGAGGAAATCCGAAGCAGCATTTTGTGTACTTTTCCTCTAAGCCTCTCTTTTTTGCATATTTCAGAGTCCTGGAAGGCTGCCAAACTTTTTTTAGTGACCGGGCCACTAAATATTTGTAGTATAACCATTAAAAACTGGTAGTGCACTTTCACACTGTTTTGAGACGGGGAAAATGCAAAAAGCCACTGGAAGCCTAAAAATAAATATGATACTGTGAAGGACGGTCCCCTCTTCACAGGAGCACATGGGACAAAAATGTAAATTTTGGCTTACCTGTTTTCATATCATATATCCTAACTCAATTTGTATCACTGTCCTGCCTACTGCTATACTCCTTCCCTTAAATGTTAAGGACTCTTGAAAAAGAGTCTATTAGGGACAAATGATACCAAGGATTTTTTTAATTGGTTGCCTTCTTGGTATAGCCAGCATGAAAATAACAACAACAAAAACTTAAAAGTTTTGTTATAACCTGGTGGTCATCCTTCTAAGTGCTAATGAAGCTTGACAGTACATTGCTTTCAAATGCTGCCACCTATTGAAAAGTAAATCTATTGGACAGTAAGTAGCTTACTGTCTTAACTCAGCGTTAAGTTTGGTCTAAGGCTCAAGCTCTTCAATTTTTTGAAGAGCTTGAGCTAGACCAAACTTATGTTGAGTTAAGACTTTTCCAACTTCTCAGCTAGCCTGTCAGTCTTCTCACTAAATGGAAATTCTGGAACCTGTAATCTCAAGGCATCTACACAAAACCAGGTTGAGAAATGCTAGCTAATGGAACTGGTATTCATAATTCAGTCTCATCAGTTTAGACAGGCTTCTAGTCAAATAAAAATGCATAGAATTTTGGCTCTACTTTGAAAACCCATGTTTTTAAAGCAAAATTATCAGAATACCTTCCAACTTCCCACACATCTCCAATCAGGGACTTACTATTTCAAGAGGGAGGGAGGGAGAGAGAGAGAAAGAGAGAGAGAGAGAGAAATGTGAGCGTTAATCTAAATACGTCATCTCCAATTTACTGCTATTAGGCATGATCTTCATTAGCTTAATGGAATCATTTTGATCACAATGATGCCACAAGTATGTCATTGACAAGTTCCTGTGACAATAAAAAACAGAAATGAGGGTGGCACCGAAATGCCAGAGAACAAAAAGAATTTGTTTTCTGTTTGTGCTGGAAATACAAGGCATTGTTTACTACTCAGAGGGGGTGTTACTCCTTGAAAGAGATCAAAGGCTCCTCCGATGACATCAGGAGCTTGGGCACCAGAGGAAAAGGGAGGAGGGGGTCTCAGGCTCCTAGAAGCCACCAGACTAATTACTGGAAAACTTCAAAAGGGAACTGTAAGCTTTTCTTTCTGTGGCACTTAACACCCACCCACCCAACTTTAACCCTTTCACCTATTCCTCCTTTTAAATATCTACCCACTACTCTTTCCCATTGCTTAGGTCTTGATGAATGGCCCTTCGGAAAGCATTTCGGCTTGAAACTGGGGGGGGGGGGGGAATACTAATTTAAAACACATTTCAAGGAGAAGCGGCCACATGGTTTCAACCAAGCAAGGATTCCTTCCTTTTTCCTGTTTCCCCTAAGAAGCCTTAGGCTAAAATGTTAAATATAGAAAGGAAGCTTTCTCTCTAATGCTCTGTCCAGATTGCTGGACTACAGGGCCTGTAATTCCCAGCCGGTACGACCGGTGGCTATAGAAATGCTTGGAATCGTACATTCGGTTGATGTGCACTAGACTGAGTGGATTGGCCGTCTTGGGGTTTATCTTCTTTAACTAAAGTAGGAGTTGTAGGAAAGAAGGTATGTTAAATACAGTTTGCCTCTCAGCCTTAGTTATTACTATTTTTTTTTTTAGAATAGAATAGAATAAAATTCTTTATTGCCTAAGTGTGATTGGACACACAAGGAATTTGTCTTTGATGCAAATGCTCTCAATGTACATAAAGGAAAAGATACATTCATCAAGAGTCAAGAACCATAAGGTATAACACTAAGGAATTTGTCTTTGGTGCATATGCTCCCTGTATACATAAAAGAAAAGATACATTTGTCAAGAGTCAAGGTACAACACTTAATAATAGTCATAGGGTACAATAAGCAATCAAATCATACTAGGAAACAGTCAATATCAATCGTAAGGATACAAGCGACAAAGTTACAGTCATACAGTCACAAGTGGGAGGGGACGGGTGATAAGGAGTTATGAAAAGATTAATAGTAATAGTAATGCAGACTTTGTAAATAGTTGGACAGTGTTGAGGGAATGATTTGTTTAGCAGAGTGATGGCATTCAGGAAAACACTTCACAACACTTAATAATAGTCATAGGGCATAATAAGCAATCAAATCATACTAGGAAACAGTCCATATTAATCGTAAGGATACAAGCCACAAAGTTACAGTCATCCAGTCACAAGTGAGAGGGGGTGGGTGATAAGAAGTGATGAGATTAATAGTAGTAGTACTGCATATATGCAATAGTAATTATCCTTGTTTCTCCCTTGGCCAACTGAACACTTTTAATTCTATCCTAACGGTGACCTTTGAAAACCGCTTAAAGTAGAAAATTCTGCAGAATATAAAATGCACTGAACTTCAGGTTTGCCTTATATAAAGTGGGCAGCTGGGTAACAAGAGCTCCACGAAGCTCTAAGTGAGCGCGGCATGGAAACATTTCATTACTGAGGGGGGAAAAAATGCAAACCACACGTAAAAAGTTACGGCAGGGAAGCCAGGGGAGGTTTTAGCAGGAGCAGGACCGAGGGGGTGAAATAAACCAGACCCCGCCGAGAAAGGCAGCTCCAAGGGGCAGCCTGCCTTCCTTCCGCCCCCCCCCCCCCCCCCCCCCCCCCCCCCCCACCGCCCCCCGCCACCGCCCCTCCCCCCCCGGCCGGGGGGAGGGGGGTTTTTTTTTTTTTTTTTTTGCCCTTTTCGACTCTTGCCAGCGCAACGCGCAAAAGGCACCAAACACGCCACCTCAGACTGTCGCGCGCGCGCGCTCAAAAAAAGGAGGGGGGGAATCCCTTCGCAAGAGTTGGACTGCGCTCAGCGGCATAGGATCGGGCGCCGGGGAAAGCCGCCGAGCTGTCCGTCTCTCTCTCTCTCTCAACGGCTTCCCACCCCCTTGGCTTTTTAAAGTCATCCCCACTCCGTCTTCCCCAACCAGCCGGGTTGGGATTGAGACAACCCCTCCACCTTTTTTTTTTCCTCCTCCGAGCATGTGCAGAGCGCCTCAGCTTTGCCTCCGGAGCAGCGAAGCTTCTTTCCCACCACCCCACCCCGCAACTGGCTGGCTCTGGGAGAAGCCGCAACACGGACCGGGCTCGGCTTGCCCCGAGCCCCCCGCGCCCGCTTACGTGTGAGGATCATGATCCGCCGCTGCTTGGCTGCCCGCGCCCTCCGGGAGAAGGTGGCCGCCGGCGCCAGCTGCATGCAAAGAGCGGGCTCTGTCCGTCCCCCCAGGGTCGCTCTCGTTCGTCGGCTGGCTCCGCCGGGGCAGCAGCGCCTCAACTCATCTTCCCCGCTCGGTCCGGAGGTGCGAACCCTTCAGGCGCCAGGCAGGGCAAGAAAAAAAAAAGAAAAAAAGGCGGCGCCCGGGCCGGCAGAGCCATCGCCCCACCTCCTTCGCTCCAGGTTCCTTTCCCGTCAAGGAAGCAGCAGCGGCGGCGCGGCGGCGGCGGCGGCCTCCGGGCTTACCGCCCCCGCCCCCGGCGAGGGGGGGCTCCGCTGAGGAGATCCGGGAGGAAAGCCGTCGGGGCGCCTCCGCCCGCGGGAACCGCCCTCGCGCGGCCCGCTGGAAGGGAGAAGAAGACACAACACCCTAGCGGGGCTCCGAGACTTTTGAGGGGGGGGGGGGCTGCAGCAGAGAGGATGACAGGATATCAGACAATCGGGAGTTGGAAGGGACCTTGTAAGGTCATCTAGTCCAAACCCCCCCCCCCCGCCCAAGCGGGAGACCCTAACACCATTTCTGACCAATGGCAGGCAGTCCGATCTCTTCTTGAAGGTCTCAAGTTGATTTGAGTTCAAGCCGATTTTCCCAAAGCACCCGAAGGCCAGAGGAAGGAGAGAAAAAAAAATGGATGGAGAAAGAGAGATTCGAGCTAGAAATCAGGAGGGATTTTTTTTTTGACAGAACAATCCACTCATGGAACAGAAGTTGCCTTCGGAAGTTGTGGGGGCTTCATCCCTGGAGGCTTTCAAGAAGAGACTGGACTGCCATCTGTCACAAATGGTGTAGGGCCACCTGCTTGGGCAGGGGGTTGGACTAGATGACCTACAAGATCCCTCCCAACTCTGTTTATCTGTTAAAGAAGAGAACAGAACAGAATAGATCATGGAATGGAGTGGAATGGAATAGAATAGAATGGAATAAGGGGTAGAATAGAATAAGGGGTAGAACAGAATAGAATAAGGGGTAGAATAGGATAGGATAGAATAGAATAGAATAGAATAGAATAGAATAGAATAGAATAGAATAGAATAGAATAGACCTATAAGGTCCCTTCCAACTTTGTTATTCTGTTATGTGCAATAAACAGGCGGAGCGACCCTCTTGCTCTCCTTACACATCTCAAGGAATTCCCACCCACCCGGAAAGTCACCTGCTTTCCAGCTAGTCCTTGACTTACAACAGTTCATGGAGTGACCGTTGGAAACGGTCTGGGAAAAGTGACTCATGACCATTTTTCACACTTACGACCATTGCGGCACCCCCATAGTC